TCTAAGAATTTTCTCCCCCCTCTCCTCCTATCCCTAAAACCAAAAACCAAACTCACTGCCATCGAGTCAGATTTGACTCATAGTGACCCCTCCTTGGGTTCCCGAGGCAGTATCACTATGAAAAGTAGATCACCCCATCTTCCTTCCAAGGAGTGGCTGGTGGGTTTGAACCGCCAGCCTTCTGGTTAGCAGTCAAATGCCTTAGGCACTATGCTACCAGAGCTAACAAAGACAGTTTCCTTCCATGTATAAACCTTTCCTTGATCAAGGCTGTGTTTTGGTTGCGGATCAACAGGCCTTTTTTCCAAGGTTCCTTTGGGTGGCTTCAAACAGCTAATCATTGGATCAGTAGTCAAGTGCTTAACCATTTGCACCTCCAAAGACTCCACAGATAAGCTAAATTAGAGAAAGATAAAGCTTATACTTCTTCCTGAACAATCAAATCAGAAAATGTTTATTGATTGTTCTGAATTAATAAAATTCTAATTAATGAGGTCTTACTTGGGATATCAAATACACTATAATATATATCCTCAAACTGCCTATGTTAATATTTCCTTAATAAAGTTGAAATGTTCAGTCTAATCACTACAACAGATGTGACAAACTATGGTTGACTGAATATAATTCAGATTAAATTTAGGGCAACAAAGGCTATGAGTTAAGAGATGAAAAATCCAAATTATTGTAGTCTTTACATCAAATATATATTAAATTACTTATGAAAATTTTCATGACAAGTGCAATTTTGTGCATCAAATTGTGTTCTTCATTAACTCTGAGACATTCTCCCCCTCAACACACAAATTTGACCCCAAGACCTATTTGCAAAAAGAACTCCCAACCATTCACTTTCAAAAACAGTTGTTTTTCATTAAATCACAGCCTATGGTCACTGCGTTCTCCTGAACAGCCCAGGCTAAAAAGACTAGTCAGTGGACAGTCAGTCCATCCACAAAAGAGTTGAAACTTTAAGTAGAGAAGTGCTTATTTCTCTGGCAACCTCAATTCTTTGGAAGATAGTTGTGAACCAAGAATTAAGCAAAAAGGTGTTGGAGAGTGGAAATTGTTAACCAAAACACAAGTTTTGAAGTTGGTATCTGCACTGTGAGTTGGATCCCCTTATACACAAGAGAATCTTCCAGGTTCTCACTCATAATCTATTTACTTTTATTTTAGACACAATTTAAGTGAGCTTGTCCAGCTTATTTTCCAGCCCATTAAAGATTAGAAACAGCATACCAGAGGATGGTATCTGCTAGAAGTTGGTATGTTTGAACCCTTTGTTGCAGCCACCATGTCAGTCCATGTCATGGAGGGTTTATATGTAAGATCTCCATGAGTCGGAGCAGACTCAATGGCGAGTAACAACATCTGCTAGAGGAACATATCCTGTTGATAAGATCAAGGCAGATACAGTATAAGGACAGTGGTAGGTAGGAACTGGATGTGAACTGAGTCTCAGCTCCATTCATTCAATGACAGCAAATACTTTGTCCTCTCTAGCTTTGCTTTCTTCTTGTGTCAAAATCAGGTGGTAGATCAGTGCCTCATCTTAAATATTCCTTCCAGCCCCTATGTTTTGTGATTCTCTGTCTAAGCTGAGATTAGACTGCAAGCTTCTTGAAGGTGAAGACCATGTTGATTTGCCTGGTCTTTGACATCCATCACCATATTGGATCATAGGGGACATTTAGTAAATATTGGTTGAATGAATAACTGTCAGTTGTAAGAAAAAATGAATTGTGGATAAAAATTTTCAACATTTAGAGTGGTTAGTGTGGCAGTGCAGTGCCTAAGGCATTTGACTGCTAACCAGAAGTTTGGCGGTTCAAAGCCACCAGCCCCTCCATAGAAGGAAGACTGGGCAATCTACTTCCGTACAGGTTTACTGCCTCGGAAACCCAATGGGGGTTGCTATGAGTCAGAATTGACTCAATAGCAGTGGGTTTGGTTTAGTTTAGTGTGGTACCAGTAAACATATCTATATATCCTAAGAACAGATCACATTATGTTCAGGATTTTTTTTTAGAAGAAAGGGCTGCAATGAACTCTTTTAGTTTTACCTCCAATTAAAATGATGACAAGGAAAGAGTTTTGGTGCTTCTGAGTAGACAGCCTTAATTTCTTACTTCTTCTTCTTCTTCCTTTTAAATCTGGCATAGGTGAAATTCTAAGAAGTATGCACTTAAGTTTTTTTGTTGTTTTTCACAACTATTGTATGCCAGACATGGTGCTACGTTATTGAGGAATTAGAATAAAGTATGCTGCATGTTAAACTATCATTTTACTTAGAAATGAATAGTTCAAGGACAATGCTAGGTATGTTTCTGCTTCAGATATTCAGTTAAAAACAATGTATTTGAAGAGTTCAATGGATATGCTCTTGACGTTGTTGGTTGCAATCGAATTGATTCCGATTCATGGTGACCCTATGTGTGTTTCATAGGGCTTTCAAGGGTGTGACATTTCAGAAGCAGGTTACACAGGTGCCTCTGGGTGGCTTCAAACCACCAACCTTTTGGCTAATAACCATTTGTGCCACCCAAGGACTCCAGAAAGGCAGGAGTCATATCTATGTCTTAAATCTCATAGCTCTAAAGGATCTCATGGCTGGCATATTTGTGTTCCAACTTGCTCCCTAGCCTTGATATTTTCATTTGTAAGTCCCTTGGTCCTGGCTTTTAATTTAGTTATATTTTCCTATGTTATTCTACGTATATTGTTTGCTACTTAAAAACCTGTCAGATGAGGCTTGAAAAGCTAGTGCAATCATCAGTGACAACTAAACCTAAGTGCATCATTAGTATTGGTTTAGAAATGAATCACATGTTTAGACAAGTTCCCACAAAGTCACCGTTCCATGTTTCCCAGTGCTATCTAGCACTCTTTGCAATGATAGAAATGTTTTACGTTTGTCCTATCCAATATTATAGCCAGTAGCCCCATGAGACCACTGAGCACTTGAAACATGGCTAGTGCAACTGAGGAATGGAGTATTACATTTTATTTAATTTTAATGACTTAAAGTTTTAGTTGTTGTTGTTGTTGTTATGTACCATCCAGTCAGACCCGACTCATAGTGACCCCTCCTTGGGTTTCCGAGCCAGTGTCACTACGGAAGTAGATTGCCCAATCTTCCTTCTGAGGAGTGGCTGGTGGGTTTGAACCACCAGCCTTCTGGTTAGCAGTCAAGTGCCTTACACACTACGCTACCAGAGCTCCTTAGTAGCCACATGCAACTTGTGGCTATGGTACTATACAGTGCAGCTTTGTCCTTTTTATATGGTGTTTTGGTTCTCTAGTGCTGCTCTAACACAAATACCACAAATGGGTGGCTTGAACAAGCAGAGATTTATTCTCTTACAGTTTAGGAGGCTCAAGTCCAAATTCAAAGTGTCAAGCTTTGGGGCTGGGTGAAGTTCCCTTGACCTTGAGCTTCATCTCTGCCTCTTTCTCCTGGCCCACTGGAGCTAGAGGTGTCTCTTCGCTTAGGCGGATGCTGGCCGTTGAAGCTGACAAACCCAAGGTCAACAAATAAAATGGCACAGTCCCAAGATTACTATACAACATGGCAGGCAACTAGTTCAAGTTCAGAAACAGTCCCAAGATCAGTAGGAAACATGGCAGGCTGCTGAATGAAGACTCGCCTACCTACAGGGTCCAAGCATGCCAAAAATCTCCAGAGACCTTTCTCAAAACTTCTCACATACTGGAAGCAGACCACATCCCTACAGCAGCTACTCAGCTGCTCCAGTAGATTCCACCGTGGAGTTGATTACCAGTCTCTTCATGGGGAATAACTACATCCAGCTGCCCAGCCACTCAAAGCCAGGCCCAGCCAAGTTGACACACAAATTAACTACCACATGTGGCTACAGGATTGAGTGAGAATGCTTATTCCCTGTCCCTCCTTTGTCCCCACTCCTTTTCTTTTCAGTTGGAGGGACAGCTCCAAAGTAACATTCTGAGCTTCTTTGTACCTCCTCAGTCACTCTCCTCTGTGAGAAGTGACTTCTATGATCCATGAATTTGTGGGTAGAGAGTAGTGTTAGAGCCCAGCATCTCCCTCTTCCCTTTCTCTTTGGCCTTTGCCTGTCTGCAGAGAGTACATTCTGCCCCTCATCTCCCTGCCATCAATTTTCCAGGCATCAGCCCTTATGCTGGGTGTAGGAGAAACCCTGGGGCTGTTTAGCGCCTCTGCTGTTCTGTGGCTAGATGAGGCTGCTTAACTGGGGAAATATTAGCAAGACCACTCAGCCCACAGACTGAAAGCCTGGTCTCCAACAGCGTTATCAATAACAGCGATGGTAATCTTGATCTCCACTGATCTCTGTCCGACTCCTGCAACTATATATAGCTCTGTTGGTTTACTCATTGGATAAGTGAGGGAGACATCCAAATCCCAAAACTCCACAGTGCC